TTTAAGGACAAAGGAATCCTTTGGGAAGACTACACAGTCATTTAACAAGTAACTGAACCCTGTATGACATTTCCATCCAGTCTACTGAAACAGGTGAATGATTCTGAGGTCTTTTGAATACTCATTTACAATGGCTTATCAGACATACAGAATTCAGACATTTCTCTAATTATGATACATTAAGATGTACTAAGATAATTCAGTATTCAGCGAGCCTCAGATTCACATTCCCACTAATCAGCAGGTGTTAATGGAACAAGAACATGCAGCATAAGAAGATTATGCCTGACTGAGGGCTGAAGCATCCTTCTTATGCCCCCTATGCTGATGTATTTCTTTGTCTGTTTTGTTTCTATATAGTTTTCTATATTCACATCTGCCTTTTTAAAAGCAATACTATATTCTACATGGGATCCATGGAGAAACTGTTGAGTGGATGAAAAGAATTTGGTTGAAGAGAAGGTTATTGGTTCCAGTCTGACTTCTCTGCTACTCAGGCAAGTTGCTTAAACTTTTGGTTTCCAATTTTATGTATCTGTGACGTAGGGCACAGCATCTCACAGAGATGCTGAAAGGGGGGGTTGTATGAATATTTTAAAAGCATTTTAACATCCTTGGTTGAAAACAAATCATTACAAATAACCATTTCATTGTTTAAATACTCAAATTTGATATCTTCAGTGCTACAAGTAAACATTTTGTTGTTGAATTATTTGAAGAATGTTTTTCACATAATAAATCTTGAGCCAGCAGACCCCAAGCTTACATTTTGTTTTTTTACTTCTTTAGCAACATTACATATTATAATTTTCAAGGTGAAATCAATGAGTTAAATGAAAAGGTCAGATACATAATTTTTTTCTAAAACTATACACTGCAAACTCTGATCCTGAACTGAATTTTGCCCATCAACCCATTAAATATGCTAAATAACATGAATTCCACTGATTCTAATCAGGAAGGTAAGCAGTTCAGGTAACAGAAGAACAGGCATTGTGTCTGATGGTGAAGTTTTCTTGGTTTCCTTACAGAATTTTCTTAGAGGCGTTGCTTGTTACCAAAAAAAAAAAACCAAAACCCACCCAAAAAAGCCCCAAAACCAACAATGTACCAAAACAAAACCAAAAGACAAACCACATAGGAGGTTCATTATGAATTCATTATGCCTACCACAATAAAGCAGAAGAAAAAAATGAAGCAAAGACAGGAGGGACAACTGATTAATTATGTGGACATGAAAACTGGAAGCTCTTTTCTTTTCAAAGAGGAAATGTATATTTATAGACTAAGAATATCCCAAGAATGAATGATCATCACATTTTTATGGTGTCAGGAGATTTAGGTTAATAAGCAAAGTATCATTTATACATGTAACATTGCTTGGTGTTAAGTGAATGCTGATTTATCAACCCTATTTGTAGAGATAAAGTAGGAAGAAGATAATGGGATCACATAGCTCGGTTCCATACAGAACTGCATATTAAGCATGCTAATTTTCTTATGTGTAAGAGCAAATGTATTTCAGCTGCATATGGGGTTGTTTTGGGGTTCTATTCATCATCTTTGAAAGTCTTTTAAAACATCTCTGACTACAGATAACTCTCTACGAGAAATAAGGTGGGAAGGAAAAGGCAAAGCATACAAATAGAAGCACTGTAAACCATTCCCAATAGGGGCTTACAGAGCTTATTAAAAATACAAATAACATCTGAAGAGAACCAAACCGGAAGAGCACAAGTTGTAGGAACAGGTTTGAGGTATCACCAGGAATTTTCTTGGCAGTTACACTTGCAGGTCTAATCACAATCTCTCTGTAAGTAGCCTTTAATATAGAAGTAGTTTAGTTTTACAGGCCAGAAGCCAATTTCATGTTTATATGCTCTGTAAAACAGTGGCTGTACAGACTTCAAAAACTCTCTGTAATGGAGATTCTCTTTGAGGAGGAGAGTGAATTTTCCTAGTTAAAGGTGTGAGAATTCCCTTCTAGTTTTACTTTACTATAGGGGCTGTATAAAATTCCTTTTTCCCCATGCCATCTTTAGCTAGAGTTCAGAAGTCAGAGCAAGTCCTGCATGTGACATGTCCGACCACACAGCAAAACAACTTGAAACTACTAAATGTCTACCCTGACACTGAATTCTCCAACCTAAATTCAGTCATAGACACAATTAATATATTTATATATATATTTTACATGTTCGTCTGTGTAAGTCCTCGACACATAGTTGAGCACTGTACTGTGGATCATAGGCAACAGTCAACAGCTAGGAGGATGCAGAAGGTGTGTATGACAGGGGGATTAAACTTCCCTGAGCTTTTGTGGTCTGCTTCTGAGCCAAGTGAAAAAGGTTAGTCCAAGCAAGCTTCAGCTGAGGTTTGGAGTAAGTAATTTGACTTGTTCTGCAAAGACGAGATCTGCCCATGCAATGTGGTACATTTGGAAAGATACAGCCTCACAGCTGAGACCAAACCACTTTGGAGCAAAGTTACACAGGTGAGTTTGAGCTTCACCTGTGTAACTTTGCCTGTAAACAGGACTAGAAACTACATATCAAAACTGTCTAAAAAGTTCTGCCCTGCTGTTTTGTGGCTTCTGGGTTCTGGTCCTAAGTAAGACCTGCATGTCTAATCTTTGTAGGAGTATTCATGCCCCAGTTGTAAAAAAAACTCCCCCTTGTTCAGTTCTTTCTGTTGATTTTACAGAGCAGATAATCCAGCTCCATGGTTTATCACTTCCTATTGCTTGTGGAGGTTTCCAGGCATCACAGAAGTTGGTACTTCAAGAAAGAGTGAAATTCACTGATGTTTTCCATTGTCTTTAGGAATATTGTAGCTATATGTTTAATCTATTCTGTAATAAACCCAGCAATAATGGTGAGGTAGTACTTAACTTTCTTGGTATTTCCAAATACAAAAAGTAAAAAATAATAAATCTACAGAAAGTGTGGCAAACTATTTTCAAAAACTGCTGAAACACAAAACCAAACATAGAGAAATCTTAGCCAAATCTCTTTCCTTTCCCAGTATGTACAAATAGACAGAAAACATATCTCCTATCTTTGTAGAATTCAGTTCTTTACTGAACAGAGTTCTGACCTAAGTGTGAAAAAGACTTTCATAAACCTATCCTCTCCTGTATGTGTCATTTAACTTTCATGTTGATGCAATTACACTTGCAATGCAGAGGATCAACCTGAGTGCTACCTCCTGATAGCAACTGAGTAACCGGTGTGGAAAAGGATGGACAAAGGTTTTTATGGGCTCAGGACAAAAGGGCAGAAACTGTGACCACCTGTAATGATGCAACACAACTGGAATCTCCCAAAGCAAGAGACCTGAAAAAAGGTGAAAACCTGTACCTAGTTGTAAATGCCTTTTACGCTTTTTCTATGTGCTCATTATGTCAAGAAATGAAAATATAATCTGTAGTAGTTGAAAATAAGTTGGACTGAAGTTGAAATTGCATTCATTTCAATGCATCTGCTGACCATTTCTACCAAAAATGAACTTGACGAGCAACCCAGGGAGCACTGAGAAGCTACCTGGGGAAGCTGTGAACCGTGGGCTAAAGCACATTTAGGAGGTTAAGGCTGTGGGAACGGGAGTTGGGTTTATTTGGTTCCTCAGAGAGGGTGGGGAGCTCAGGGGTAGTGGTGGTGTTCACAGATGAAAACGGGAAATGACGGGGATGCATAACTTTCTGTCCTGGGGGATGGATCTTAGGGAGCAGGCCATATAGAAAGAAGCCCGAGGGGCATTTACCGCGTTTTAACGCAGCAACTGAGCCAAAGGCCGAGAGGGCCAGCAGGCAGCTCCCCTGAGGTACGCCTGAGGGGGCGGCGGTTCGAGGGACCGGTCCCCTC